CGTTAATAATGCATAAGTATTATCGTACATATATATTTCTCCATATGAATTATGCATACTTTAGTATCATATCTTCTATGTTATTGTACCCCCACTTGATGACAACCCAACCTCAAGTTATGAAATGTCGAGGTAGAAAACATATGAAAATTGAAACTTGTCTTCCTAGTGATTGAAGCTTCCAGAACTTGTTATCATCATCAGAAAACAAGAATGTTCAAAAATAAAAGATTTTGAAAAAATAGTAAACCAATTAGGATGACAAGAACCAGGAAGTATTGCCAAACTTTTCTGAATTACTACTAGGAGCCACAAAGAATCTTGGGAATATCTTCAAGTGGAGCCTCTTTCTTCTTCAAATCAACAATAACGTCACCCTGTCTTTAACCTCCACAGCATTATTGCTTACAACCAAATTGAGAGATCTATCACTACATGACTCAATCTGTGTTGTAAAACTTACAACATGATCTGAATCTCTTTGATTACTTTGTTTACTCACTTGTTATCATTAGTTTGATTATCAATTGGTTATCTCCCTAGTTATGTTATTTTATTAATTTGCTCTCACGAGTTGGATCATCAATGACAATAACATCATGCTGCGCCATAGATAAGTTATGGCATACAGTGGTCTCTAAATTATTGTAATCCTGGAGGGGAATGCTTTAAGATTTAATTATTTGCATCAAAATAGTTTAAATCTAATGGCACAACTTTCAAGAACTCTCCATGTTATCTCCCTGAAGACTAGATGAAAGTAGAAAGAGCAACTTCACTGCAATGTACTCACTTTCTTGTAAGAGTGGTCATAATCGCTTCCATGTGTGAGAGAACATTCTTCTGTTTAGGTTGGATAGATAGAAAGTGCTCGAACATTTCTACAATTAATTCTTCACAATCAAGATCAAATATCACCAAATGAAGTCTCCATTTCAAGAATTAAGGTTTCTCTAATATGTGATTACCTCATTCTATAACTAATACTTTAAATATAGAAACAATTAGACTTAAAAACATCTTTTTAATCATGCATCATCAAATGGATATGTAGTGCAATTATTCTAGTTAGCTTATATATGCATAAACAAAGTTACGTTTCATATTGATATTTAAGTGCTAGAGAAACTGATCACTGACTAAGGCTCTTCACAATAAACAAAGTCCATCCCGCGTCAACTTAGATACTCTTGATATACTTTTAAGAGAATACTTAACTTACTCCAAGAGGCAAATAAGTAAACTAGATGAATAGGGAGGGCTAGAGTACTTATAACCAATGTATATAAGCCATCATTCAAGCCCTCTTATTACATGGTGGTATAATATTACTAGCATCATTACATTCACCTTCTCTTCCATCACTTCAATTTGAAGGTTTTTTCTTTTGACACTAGGGTGCTTTTCTGCCAAGTTCTCCAAGAGCAAACTTCAAACATCTATGCTCAGTAAGGCAATAAGTGTCCACATCTCCAATGCAAGAAGAAAATGATGGAAAAATGCATTTGATTAGAACAGTAAACAGACATGAAGAGAAATGGAAGCAACCTTAACTAGTTTTCCAGCCTCCACCTATTATTGTTCGAAGCATGCCTTATGGCACCCTAGGTTTAACGAACTCATTCATTGAACCTCAGCATCAAGATGGAAATAAAAAGGCCAGTGAAAATTGAGCCCCAAGAGAGATTTCAGATTTTTTCTTAGGAACCATTGAACCAATTGAAAACAGATGGAAAGAACGACCTAAAAGAGACCTATTCAAAAGGCTCAAGCTAATTCCTTCTCCCAGGTTTTTGCCAGATAATTGGCATGCCAAACGGTAAACATGGTTATTTTAAAATACAGAATGACCATAGACAACAATAAGAGATTCACATCAGTATGATCAAGTACCGGAACAATTATATCAGATCATGGAGGAAAAGCAAAAATAAAAGGAAACCTCAACTTCAATTGATCCGAGATCAACATATCATCGGATGATCATGAGCAGAACCATATATGGATCATAACAAAACCAAAACAGGACAAGCAGAAGAACCAAGGTAACAAAGAAATGTCAGTGGAATAATGAACCAAAAGTTATCTTCATTAATCATGAAAACAGTTTTGACATACTGAAACAAAACCAACAAGGGAAAGCAAGAGATCAGGCAATACCCTCCCTCGTGTGCTCCAAAAGTCGAAGCTCGTCCTCTCTTTTGATTAGCCTTTGTTCAACTTAAGAACCACTCCTTTTCCCTATGGTCCCTCAGAATTGAAGGTCCCTGCTACCGCCGCTGGCTTTGTGGACCCTCTCTTTCGGTTCCCAGCCTTCCACTAGCTCTGCTCTGTTCTCAACAAACCAGAAAAGCGCCGCCCTTTTAAAGTCGCTCCGATCTCTCTCCAACTGATTCTCCTCACTCCTTCAATTCTCCGCTCTGATTTTCCTAGAAATTCCCCAAAATCGTCTCCCAAGGTCCCCTCTAACTTGTGCCTACATTCTCCCAAAAAAACCCAGAAAAATCTTATCTTTTTTCCCCCGACTATTCTCTCGCCGTCTCTTCTACCTCTGTTATCGATCCCAATCTCTGCTTCTTTTCCCCGAACCTCTTGCTGCTCTCCCCTTTTACGAAATTTTACCCCCCTAAAACCTCCTACTTTGATTTCTCTCTCGTCTCCTTCTTGTAGCCGAAAGCCGAGCCTTTCTTTCCCAGCTCCCGGTCATCGCCTCGAATCCCTAACTTCCTTCTGTTCCTCTGAGCCTTGACCTCTGCTTTCTCTATTCATATCCATCTCTGTTCCCCTACTTCCTTGACCTCTGAATTCTTTCATTGTTCTCAGATTTTCTGCTATAACGCATGGGAAAGCTCCTTTCCTCCTTTCTCCTTTATCTTCCTTCCTCGAGCCGAATAACTTCATGTTTCTACCTTTCCATTTTCGGCTCCTTTCTTCCTGCCTTCCTTCGTTACATGGGAGCGGCAACTGGAAAAATATGGGTCAAATCAAAGTTGGAGTTCAGTATAAAATTAAAGTCCAAATTTTGAAGAAAAATTGATTCAGGAAATGAATCGTATTCGAGTACGAAAAATTAGGGAATATTCCACGGTGTAAACGACGGAATTCAAGTCTTCGACTAAATTTTCTCTGCCCTTTCCGTGTCTCCTTCTTCATCTTCCACTCCACAAATCCAGGTAATAGTTTGTCCGGAATTTGTCGCATGCAAAAATTGATAGGAGTCACGGAACCAAGATTTAATATTTAGATAATTCATTAATAAAATATTACAAGATGTCAGAAACTGTGACTACATTAAGTGTCCATTAATTCTAAAAAAAAAAAATAATATATTCTCTACGTTTTGAATAAATATGATAATTCCATCTAATGAATTATTAAATTATTATTTGAATATAAATTTTTTTTTTCTCGAAAATTCATTAAAAAAACACTCACAATCTCAAATTAAATTGAAAAATTTTCACCAAAATTAGAAATGAATCTTGGAGTGACTGCAAAAGCTAATTAATAATATGTATATATGTGATACACTAATTTTAAACTAATTTAATAAATAAAACTTTTAAGTCATTTGTAACTTGGTATTATTTTGTCTCGACTTTTAATACTAACAAAACAAACATTGAGTTATTAGTGATTGTAATATACTTATAATTCATTATAAAATTACTGGGTTCTCGATGAAATTAGTATATTCCAATTGTATTTTATTTCACAAACTAAATATACCATAAATTCTAACAGAGAAGATAAAAAGATTACATGGCTAGTAAGATGTTTCGTAATAACCAGGTCCAAGGGAGACGAGAAAGCCACCAAGAAATTCAAAAAAAAAAAAAAAGAAGAAAAAAGAAGCCCTAGGAGAAAGAGGGACAAGGCCAGTGGAGAAGAAGAAGAAGAAAAAGGAGGAGGAGAAGAAAGAGAAAGAAATAAGCATGGCACGCGGTACACGCAGCTGGAAAGGAGGAGCTACGCGCGGTGTCAAGCACGCGGCGTGCGCTATCGCCGAAGAAGACGATAAAAAAAAAAAAACAAGAAGAAGAGGAATAGGAAGGAGGAGGAGGAGGAGGAAGGAAGTATGACGCACGACGTGCGCGGTCGGAAGAGAAGAGCTGCGTGTGGTGCGCAGTGTCGGGCGCGCAACGCGCGTTGCTGAAGAAGAAGAAGCAAAGTGTGTGTTGGGTGGACTTGATCTGTGTGAGGCAGACTACGACGTGACGTTTTAGATTCGTTCAAACATCCGTGCGAGACCAAAAATCATAGAAACGGAGAGAGAGACCGAAACCGCATTGTTTCAAGTCGGAAGTCTGAATTCTGACACCGATTTTGGTAAATATTTTTCAACCTTACATTCCATTATTTTTTTTAAATTAAATTTTTAATCATGTGCATGAAATTTTTAAAAAAATTGAGAATAGAAAACTGAAAAGGGAGTCGACTATATGGAATCAAAATTATTCGAAAGTTTTCCGATTTCTTCTTTCGTTAGAGATTCTAGTAAAAATTGAGTTAGTTTTTATTCGAAGATTTTATGTGTTC